GAGACCGACTGCGAGGATGGGGAAGGCAGAGGTCTGGGCGAAGGCCAGGCGCCACCTCCCTTCCCGGACTGCGCGGCTGGCCTCCTCACTGCTGCTGCTGACAGCGCGCATGAGGGGCCGCCTGCTCCTGCTGGTCTGGTTGACTATGGCGGCGCCGAGAGGGACTTGCTTTGCGGGGCTTTGGCGGCCGAGGATGTGTTCCCCGAAAGTTACGTCTCCTCTTGGCAAGATGAAGACTGTGCCACCGCCGATGCCTGTACCTCAGAGACCCCAGCCCCAGCCGACTGTGCCCTGCCTGGACCCCACCCATCTGGTGCCGCGAAGACCCTGGAGCCCTCCTCCGTTGGGCCTTTTCCCTTTCATCTGGGCGTCCCCGGGCTGCCTGGGCAGCCCCCTCCCGCGTCCTCCGGTCCGGCTTCTGCGCCCCCGCCTGCCTTCCACCCCGCGCCAGACACAGCCCCCAGCGCACCCCTAGTGGAGGCCACAGCTGCTCCCATCTCTGCCACCCCTGCTCGGGGCCCGGGTGCTGATCCACCTGCCTATGAGTGCAGTCACTGCCACAAGACGTTCAGCTCACGGAAAAACTACACCAAGCACATGTTCATCCACTCCGGTGAGCCGGGGTGGGTCTCTGAGCCCTTTGGTCATTGGAGATTTATACCTGAGGGGGGATTGGGCACTGGGCCTGGGTGCACTGTCATAGTTCGATTGCTGTTTCCTGACCCAAAGGGGGCTTGGAAATTGAGCCCCCAAGTGCAATGTGTGTGGCGGGGAGGGGAGCAGCCGTCCACATGGAGCAGCAGGCACTGCTGCCCTTCCCCTACCTTGAATTATTGTGGTGGGAGGTCACCATCCTGGAGATTGGGATGGGCAGAAGAGATGGAGTCTTGGTCCTGGTCCTTGAGCAACACCCCCGACACCACCCAGGATCTCTTGGGTTGGGACAGGATGGTACCCTTAGCCATCCCATGTCTCTGTTCAGGCAGGAGTCCGGTGCGCATATGACTGGGGCTTGACTCCTAGAGCCCTTTGTCCTGTGTGTAGGGGTACAGGCCAGCTCCGTCAGAGGTGGGTCTCAGAAAGGAAGGCCACTTGTAGGAAACCCCTGGTCTCAGTCCCAGCTGCTGCTGTTCAGCCTGCAGATTTTGAGGTCCCTTCCCCTGAACCTCCAGCTAGACCCTCCAATCTCCTTGAATTATTGGGGTGAGCCTTTGGTCACCACACTGGAGATTGGGATGGGCAAGAGGGATGGAGTCTTGGCTAGGAGGAGATAGCCAGTTCAGGAAGCGGTGCTGCAGATAGCCTTCTGGGTCTCCGCGGATGGCACTGGGTCTGTGGACTGGGACTGGGTGTGAGAGGCTAAGTTCGCTGGCCTCCTAGGGAAAGAGTGGAGAGTTGGCAGAGAGATAGCTTGATCATGGCTGGAGGAGGGAGATGGGACTGCAGTTTGGAGACCCCACAGTTGTAGAGTTAGGAAAGGGAGGACTCCCTAAAGGCCGTTAGGGAGATGGTTCTGTGGCTCTGGTGGTAATGTAGAGTCCATGAGGGTGGAGTGCTAGGCATTGTGGAATGAGGGGCCAAGGTGGTCAGCTGGCAAGCCCTGGTCGTGTCGCAGGGAGGATGCTCCCTGGGGGCAGAGGTAGAGGACAGTATGGAATGCCAAAGGCCTCAGTGCAGAGCTGAGCTGGATGTTATTAGAAAAGCAGAGATTTGGGAACAGAGAGGAGAGTTCTGCAAAGGAATGGTGGGGGAGGCATCAATGTTCTGAGTTGCAGAGTAACTGCCATGTGATTTAATGTTTAAAATATACACGGCTGCCTTGGGGATAAGGGAGAGAAGGTAGAGGCCTGGGTGGTTGGCCTGTAGAAGGATGCCAGGGGCCCCAAGATAGTAATAGCCAAGATTTTCCAGCTTTATGTGACCTCTGCCAGGTGCCAGACCTGGTTGGTCTTGGGGAACCCCCTGCCTGCCATTGCCCTATAGCCCTGCCGCTGAGAGTTGCTTTTTGTTAATAACTTATGACTCTAGGGGCCAGCACAACCTGCTTTCCCTTCTCTGATCCCGGGTGAGATGGGGCAGCCTTCTCTGTCACCTTTGGGACATTATAACGGCCAGCAGGAAGAGGTTCTGGGCAATAGGGGCTTGCAGTAGGAGGGTGCGGGTATATCTGTTTCTCTCCCAGTGTAAAGGTGCTGGGCCTTGCCAGAATGTCACACAGCAAAGGTCAGCAATAGAGTTCAGAATGTTCCATGGGAAATGCAGGAACGGCAGGAGAGAAGGCGCTAGTCCAGTTCCAGGGCTATTGCTGTTGGTGGAAACAGAGGTCTCTGGAGGTGGAGGACACCTCAGTGGTCAGCTGCAGTGGACAATGCTGTCTCAGACCTGTTGGGTTCCCTACTGGGAGGTTGGGTACCTGCTGGAGTTGGGGTACCCTGACAGGCAGTGGTATCTAGGTATGATGGTAAGGGTCTGGAAGAGGGACAGCCCTGCAGGGAGTGGGAGAGAGGACAGAGAAATACCTGGCCATATGTGGGGGTCCCGGTTGGAAAGGAAGGGCCGGGAATGAGAGTTGCTCCGTGAGTGGTGTGTCCCTGCCCGGCATGGGTATTCCGGGTGGAAGGGTGGGGAGGGGAGGCCCTGAGGGGCAAAGGCACCCCCAGGCCCCTTCCCAGCTGACTGGGGGTGCGGCACGCCCTGTCGCCCGCAGGGGAGAAGCCCCACCAGTGCGCCGTGTGCTGGCGATCTTTCTCGCTGCGCGATTACCTGCTCAAGCATATGGTCACGCACACGGGTGTGCGCGCCTTCCAGTGCGCTGTCTGCGCCAAGCGCTTCACGCAGAAGAGCTCGCTCAACGTGCACATGCGCACGCACCGGCCCGAGCGCGCGCCCTGCCCCGCCTGCGGCAAAGTCTTCTCTCACCGTGCGCTGCTCGACCGCCACCTGGCCGCGCACCCTGCTCCCTGACCTGGCCCTGGGGCCGGCCACGCCTCTGCTGTCAGCCATGCTAGTTGCCGGGGCCTTGTCCACATTCGCTGCACCAGACCACTTTCCTCAGAGCTCAGACCTTCTGCCTGCTGCCACCCTTCTCTCCAAACCTGGCCGGGAGCCCAGCCGGCTTTACTCCTCTCCTCCTGTACACTCGGACCCTCCATGGTGGCGAGCTGGGGCTGGGATGGTCATGAACCCAACCACTTCTGGGAACTGGATCGTCTCCAGCCTGAACTGGGAGCTCAGACCCTGGATGCTGGACCCAGAATAAGTGGCTCAGACTCCAGTTCTTGCCCCGCCCCCTCCCATGAGTGGGGTTGGGGTCTAGAGCTGCTCTACCCCCGAGTCAGGCTGGGCAAGGCCCCTGGGGTCCCTTCCTGAACTGCCCCTCCCTCATCTGGCACCAGAGGGGGCTCAGGTGGACCCATCATGGACTGATGCCAGGCCTCAGGATCCCCTCTGTAATAAAGGACTGTGGGCAATGGGTCCCAAACCCAGAAGCTGTGTGCTCCTTGGCTTGTGTGTTCCTTGCTCTCAGATTGCCTGTGGGCATCAGGGCTCAGTCTCCTGGTCTCTGGGCCACACCACCACTACCACCCAGGATCTCTTGTGTTGGGACAGGATGGTACCCTTAGCCATCCCATACCTCTGTTCAGGCAGGAGTTCGGTGCACATATGACTGGGGCTTAACTCTCTTAGAGCCCTTGGTCCTGTGTGTAGGGGTACAGGCCAGCTCCATCAGAGGTGGGTCTCAGAAAGGAAGGCCACTTGTAGGAAACCCCTGGTCTCAGTCCCAGCTGCTGCTGTTCAGCCTGCAGATTTTGAGGTCCTTCTCCTAGAACCTCCAGCTAGACCCTCCAGTCTCCTTGGACTTCAGACTTCCCTGTTCTGATAGATATGATGATGGAGCATATTACTTTTGGGGGACTCAGGAGGTCTTTGGGGCCTGGCAGCCATGAGGAGATCTGATCCCCAGGGTACCTGCCCTGGCTGGCAAGTTCTGGAGTGCCAGGCTGGGTGTGGGGCAGAAAGCAGTAGCTGGTACATTTGGGCTGCCCACTGGGTGGCTGATAATAGAGATCCCTGGTGGTGAGCTAGTCTCAGGACCCTGTATTAAGTCAGCTACCAGCCCAGAGAATGGCCAGTGGCTTCTAACATTGGCGGCACCTGGCCTGGGCACTCTGCTTTAAGGACTTGGAACGGATGCAAGGGGGTGTAGCTTGGAGGGCAGGGCTCCAGCCCAGTCTGCCAGGCTCCTGGGCCTGTGGCGGCACCTCTCTGACCTCCTCCCTGTGTCTGCCTCCCAGACGGGAGGGCCTAAGTAAGGCTTTCTGGGTCCAACACCACAGACTGCCCCACTCACCTTCCAGGCACAGTTCAGCCTCCTGAACCCCAAGCGTGGTCCCTGCTTATGCCAGAGAGCAGCACACTGGGGGGTGGTCACAGCGGGGTTTGAATTCGGCCACTGCACGTGTTTCTTCAAGTATTTATTGAGCATCTGCTGTGTACCTGGCAACAGGCCAGGGGCTCAGTCCCACCGAGCCCCATCTCCCTGCCCTTGAGGTGGTTGCCACCTGTGGACTGGGACTGGGTGTGAGAGGCTGAGTTCGCTGGCCTCCTAGGGAAAGAGTGGAGAGTTGGCAGAGAGAGAGCTTGATCATGGCTGGAGGAGGGAGATGGGACTGCAGTTTTTTCCCAGCGAGGTGTGCAGAGTGGCAGTGCTTGCAGCCAGATTTGCCTTGCTGTCCTGAAATTTTGCATTCGTTCTGACCAAAAGGTCAGTTCCCTGAGAGCAGGGATTTCTGCCTGTTTCCCAAGGGCCTGGCACACGGTGGGTGGCAACAGGCAGAGGAGACAAACAGATGGGTTAAGACGGGCTGGGAGCAGAGCCCTGGGGACAGGAACACCACTGCCAACAGCTCTGGGCCACAGCCAGGGGGCGGGGCTGATGGGTTGCCCTGTGGGGCAGGGAGGCAGAGACCAGGCCAAGACAGCCCTGGACAGGGGTGAGCATTCCGTGGACACCTCTGAAGAGGGAGCAGGTTCCATGGGCGTCTGGCTGCGACTTTCTTTTTTGCTATTGCTGACGTTGCTTCTGCGAGGCCTGGGGCAGTCCGCATGGCCTGCGGCGGTGGCTGTGGCTCTGCGCTGGCTCCTGGGGGACCGCACGTGCTGTGTGCTGCTTGGCCTGGCTGTCCCGGCACGATGCTGGCTCATTCCCTGGATGCCCCACTGGCTGAGTCTGGCAGCTGCAGCCCTCACGCTGGCTCTGATGCCTGTGCAGCCGCCGCCAGGGCTGCGTTGGCTGCCCACTGATGTAGCCTTTATGATCAAGATGCTTCGCCTGGGCCTGGGCCTCAGGGTGCGCATGAGCCGCCGGCCACTCCACACCTTTGTGGATACCTTTGAGCTAAGGGCACGAACACAGCCAGACCATGTGCCCTTGGTGTGTACAGGGCCAGGGGGCTGCACAGTCACTTTCAGGGAGCTGGATGCCCAGGCTTGCCAGGCAGCGTGGGCCCTGAAGGCAGAGCTGGGCAGCCCCAGGGGCCTGCCTGCCAGGGAGCCTGTGGCCCTCCTGGTGCTGGCCACCCAGACCATTCCCGCCCTGGGATTGTGGCTGGGGCTGGCCAAGCTGGGCTTCCCGGTGGCCTGGATCAATCCTCATAGCCGGGGGGCACCGCTGGTGCACTCGGTGCTGAGCTCTGGGGCTCAGGTGCTGGTGGTGGACCCAGGTGAGGACCCCAGAGGACAAAAGGGGGTGGGGACCGGTAGGGGATGGATGTGGACTCCTGCTAAGAGGGTCGTGGAAGGGCTGGGCAAGGAGCTTCTTGCTCCCCATCCACTCATAGGCAATTAGTCGAAACTTAATTGCTAGAAGTGATGCTGAGGGTACCAGTTTTGCTTTGCTTTTTTTCACCATGGCTATTGCAATCCTTTTTGCTAAAAATACTAATTATGGAGCTTTTTACAGAAGAATGCATAAGTTTTTCTCTGCTGATGGCTTCCCTTGAGGTTGGCAGGGGCTCCTTTTCCCCATCATTGGGTGTTGGGTCCCCTCTGGCAACCTCAAAGGCGAGCCTAGCCCACTCCCTCCTCTGACCCACCCCTGCAGACCTCCAGCAGAACCTGGAGGAGGTCCTCCCCAGGCTGCAGGCAGAGAACCTCCACTGCTTCTACCTCGGCCACTCCTCCCCCACACCAGGAGTGGGGGCTCTGGGGGCTGCCCTTGACGTTGCACCCGTGGAGCCTGTGCCAGCTGACCTGCGAGCTGGGATCACGCCACAGAGCCCTGCCCTGTTCATCTACACTTCAGGGACTACTGGTGAGGGTGCCCAGCAGACCTAGCCCCTGCCTCTGAACTTTCATGTTGACCTGACCCCAAGCTTGACCTGTGCCTCAAACCTGACCTCTGAAACCCACTCTGCGCTTTGATGGTCACACCTGGCCTGAGCTCTGACCTCCAATGTGATCCAAGGTGCCAGGAGCTTGCCTCTGCTGAGTAAACACACTGAGTTTTGGAATTCAGCCTCTGAAGCCCAAGTCAATTTTGTCCTCCCTGAACCCACCCACAAATGCCCATACTTGGCTGTCTTCTGCAATCCCCAAGCCGGACTGTGCAGACCTACCCATGGAGGCCCATCCCTGTGTGCTTTTTGCCACCCGCCTTCCCTCTCTGTTCTCCCCCAGGGCTCCCAAAGCCAGCCATCCTCACACATGAGCGGGTGCTGCAGATGTGCGGGATGTTCCACCTGTGTGGGGTCACAGCTGATGATGTGATCTACACCGTCTTGCCTCTTTACCACGTGATGGGGCTTGTCCTTGGGGTCCTTAGCTGCCTGGAACTCGGTAAGCCCTTCTCTGAGGACCCCTCCAATCCGTGGGACTGGCAGAATGGATGTGAGAGTGAAAGGCCTCATAGGTTACCCAGCAGCCTGAGTTCTTACCTTTGACAAGTACACACAGCAGCAAGCCTCAGGGCTACCTGGACAGAGGCTTTGACACTCAGATAGACCTAATGGCTGTGCTGTGGTCATGAGGTGACAAGAGCTAATACGAGTGTTACTTAACCAAACAAATCTGGGTACACAGCAAAAAGCCAACATCAGCCGTTTTGTTGATGCACAGCAAAACCAAATACTTGATGTCAGGATAAAGTTTAAAAAAATAAAAGGTTGTTTACTGCAGGGCACCAAGCAAGGAGACCGGTGGCTAATGCTTAAGGTCTCGAACTTGCTGTTCGCTTATAAGCAAGGGTTTTTAAAGACAAAATTATGGGAAAGGGTTGCAGTGTGATCAGCTGATGCCCATTCTTCTGATTGATCAGTGGTGAGGTGACAGGGAATTGTTTCAGGAATCTTAGCTATCAGTCTTCTGGCTCCACCCAGTCGTCTGTGTTCTAGGTGCTTATCAGGAGGTAGCCCATCTGGTGGGGTCTAAGTTTCCTGTAAAATGCCTCAAGGATACATGTATTAGAGTTTATTTATAGCCTGGAGTGGGAACAAAGAGTCCTGTGTGTCTAGTTTGCTTTACCTTGGCTTGCAAACTCCCTTTCCCTTTAATCTCTAACTACCCAGTCTAATTCCCACACTCCAGGTCATGATGAGGAACTCAGGCTTCTCTTTGTTAATGAGGGGCTTCATCAAAAGGGTGCTTACCTGTGCATATCAGCTCTTGTCCCAGGAGGAGTCAGTGACGGATAAGTGCACACCAAGCATTCTGCTCCGCTGTCGCCCTGGACATCTGACTAGGAAATCAGACTGGGCCTCTCCACAGTCTTTTTGTTTCTCAAAATTATATTGTGAAAATTTTGAAACATATAAACATTTCTAAATTTTTCTACATGAATCCTTATGTATCCATCACCCAGTTTCAGCCACCATCAGCATTTTGCTTTTGCTCTACTTTTTTATCGCCTTCCTCCTCACTCCCACTCATCTTTACTCTTGTATTATTATTTTTTTTATCATGGACAATTTCAGACATATTTCAGACACAGTGGAGCAGAAGAAAAGCAAACAGTCTGATGATGCTGCACATATCCTAACCCAACCTTGACAATTGTTAACATGTTGCCGACTGTATTTCATATGTCCTTCCTCTATCTGGATTATTTTAGAGCAAATCCTAGACACTGTATTTTTTTGCTCATAAATATAACAGTATGTTTTATAAGATATAAGGACTTAAAAAGTTGTAATCATAGTGGATAACAGCTAACAAAATTAACAGTAACTCTTTAATATCTGATGCACACTTCATGTTCAAATTTCCCAAATTATCTAATTTTTTTTTATAAAGTCTCCTCATTGAACTTGCTTGTCTGGTTTCTGCCCCTCTTTCCCAGGCATTTCCGGTTAGACTGGAAATTCCCTCCAGAGATGTTATTTTATTGTTGCCAAAAAACTTGCTGGGGTGAATTGTGCTTCCTAATTCATCACATTGGAGGGAGCTCATAACGTAGGCTAAAATTTAGTTGGAAAACTCCCTTTCATTCTTCTGCCTCATTTTATCAGCTCTTGAAGACCTTTTTTTAATGACGTGTTTCATTGGGGTTGCAAAAAAGCTTTCACTTCCAATGACTTGGCATCCGTTTCCACAGAGGGTGTGTTATATTGTACCTCCCTGTCAAAAATACAGCTTTAAAAAAGATACATACTTGCTGCCTCACCAAGCACATGAGCAACTGTGCCTTTGGATGCAAGGATGATGGTATTTAACTTGCAGGGTTTTGTTGAGGGTTAGGTTTGAGGTAAGGAAGTGCCTTCCACAGCATCAGCTTCAGAGGAGGGGATCAATAAAGGAGGGATCATTTTCTTGGAATGAATGTAGTGCCCCTAAAATTTATTAACACATGTATGCATCCTTCAAAACATACGTCCATACATCCACCAACCCACCCATCCATCTATTCACCTATTTCTTCACGCATCTCTCTCTCCACCCACCCATCCGTCCATGCCACTATCCATCTATTCATTCATTCATCCATCCATCTATCCATCCACCCACCTATCTTATCTGCCCAACTAGACATTCATAAACCATTTATCATAATCCAGAATGATTAACATCCACAGCCCTCATCTAGCAGTGCTCACTTTGTACCAGGCACTGAGCTCTCCACACCTTCTGAAGACAGAATTCAAACCCAGGCTCGCTTACACTCTTCTCCTGGGGACAGTTCTGGCTGGGCCAGGGACACAGAGATGAGCCCAATATCCTGTGCTTCATGGGTCCGCAGATGATCAAAGTAGCTTATCACAGTGGTTTGGAAACATGACCTGAACCCTTTCCTCTCCCTCCCAGGAGCAACCTGTGTCCTGGCCCCCAAGTTCTCTGCCTCCTACTTCTGGGATGACTGTCGGAAGCATGGTGTGACTGTGATCCATTACGTGGGTGAGGTCCTGCGGTACCTGTGTGGCACTCCCCAGGTGAGGTGCTAGGATTACAGCTCCACATTAAACACCGCGGGTATGAAGTCCCAGATCTCATCCAGGTAAAGGTCGCAAGTAGATTAGGTATAGGTTTCGAGCAGCGTCCCTGTATAGGTTTCGAGCAGCGTCCCTCAGGTAAAACACATAAGGCAAGAGCCACAGATAATGAATCCTGCCCAAGGTCTCCAATCAGGGCTCCTTTGATGATCACCTGTGTTACCTTGGGCAGGTGACTTGGCTTGGCACAACCCGCAGTGTTCTCATTTGGAAAATGAGGATAATATCTCAAGGGTGTACTATGAAAATCAGACATATGTAAAGTGCCTAGGACAGGATGTGGCTCAGAGTAAACTCACTAGGTGTGAGCTGGCCTCATCCTCACCGAGCAGTGAGGTGTGGACCCGGTAACTGTCCACAGGCCAAGTTCCCAGGTTTCCCTACAGATAAAGCCTCTAGGTAACCTCTCAGGGAAAGGCTCCTGGTAATGCCTCAAGATGAAGCTTCAAGTCACTTCCCAGATTACCTCCAAGTAAAAGCCCCCAAGTAACCACTCCAGGGAAGGCCTCCAGGTAACAGTCCCAGGAAAAAGTTCCAGGTAATTTTAAGACCCTAGATACCTCCCTTAGGTACAACCCCAGATGAGGCTTCCACTCACCCCTAAGTATGACTCCAGGTTAGTGCCTCAGGTAACTTCCTCTCCGGTAACCCTCCAGGCAGACTCCAGGTAACTACTCTCATGTAAGAACCCCAAGGAAATCCCCTAGGAATAGGCACCCCCCCCCACCTCCCAGGTAACTACTCAGGTAAGACCCGAAGATCGCCCTCCCAGGTAAGGGTTCCTGGGCACACCAGGGTTCCTGCCTAACCCTTCTTGGGACAACCCTGCAGCGGCCAGAGGACCGGACACACACAGTCCGCCTAGCGATGGGCAATGGACTACGGGCAGATGTCTGGAAGACCTTCCAGCAACGCTTTGGCCCCATTCGGATCATGGAAGTCTACGGCTCCACAGAAGGCAACGTGGGCTTTGTCAACTATCCAGGGCGCTGCGGCGCTCTGGGCAAGATAAGCTGCTTCCTTCGAGTGAGTGGGTTGGGCATGATGGTGGCCTTAATTGAGGCTAAGTCCACAGAGCCTCTGCTTACACCTCCCCCCACTCCACTCAGATGCTGTCCCCCTTTGAGCTTGTACAGTTTAACACAGAGGCAGAGGAGCCTGTGAGGAACAATCAGGGCTTCTGCATTCCTGTGGGGCCAGGTATGGGGGTCAGGGAACCTTCCCTGGGTGTGGAAAGGGTGGGGACCCTGCCTCTTCCTGGGCTGGACTAAGCCTCCCAGCGTCCTGAGGCTGGCACACAGCGGCCCTCACCTGTCTGCGCACTCACCTGGGCCCCAACCACCACCTGGAACTCTCTCTTTTCCGGGTTCTTGGCTCTGTCTGGCTCCCTTCCTCACCCTCTTGCTCTGCCGGGTCTCTGGTGTCGATTTGAGTTGTTCTCTCGAGCTTTCTGTGGAAGTCCAACTCCTCCCAGGCATCAGTCACTCGTTCTGTACTTTTCCTAAGGTCTTCTCTTCTGGGGCCTTGCACAGTCCTGGACAAATTTACTTCTTCCTTCAACCATTTTTCTCCTCATCTGCCCCTTGTTACCCGTTTCCTATTTCTGCTGGGCTCCCCAATGTTGCCTTCTCTGTCCGTCTCTGTCTCTCCGGTTCCGGATCCCTCTGGCCCGGTCTCTGCTTCTGTCTCTTCTCTGGCAGGGTCCTATTGATCGAGAGTCCTCCGTCGTTGGAAAGCCCCCCTTGGGGCATGGTGGGATCATTTATTTATTTATTTATTCATTTATTTATTTAATTATTCATTCATTCATTTACTTATTTATTTATTATCATTGATCTACAATTACATGAAGAACATTGTTTACTAGGCTCCCCCCTTCACCAAGTCCCCCCCACACACCCCATTACAGTCACTGTCCATCAGCGTAGTTAAGATACTGTAGAATCACTGCTTGTCTTCTCTGTGTTGCACAGCCCTCCCCGTGCGACCCCCACATTACACATGCTAATCGTAATGCCCCCTTTCTTTTTCCCCGTCCTGCGGTTCTTGACGAGGGTTGATGCCCAGCCCTTACTCCTATTCCCAGGAGAGGCGGGGCTCCTGCTGACCCAGGTGCTGAACCGCCACCCTTTCGTGGGCTACCGCGGGCCGCGAGAGCAGACAGAACGGAAGTTGGTACAAAACGTGCGGCGCTGGGGCGACGTTTACTACAACACCGGGGACGTGCTGGCCATGGACCACGAAGGCTTTCTCTACTTCCGCGACCGCCTCGGGGATACCTTTCGGTCCGGCCCAGGAAGGGGTTTCTTGAGGCGGAGCTGGGAGGCGAGGCCGCCTGGCCTTCCTGACCCTAGAGGGGGCAAGGCTGAAGGGGTGGGACTGCAGGGTTCCGCAGGGCGGAGCTGGGGACAAGGGTCGGGGACTCCCCTTACCAGGGGCGTGTCCCAAGCATTGGCTCCGACCCCGCAGATGGAAGGGTGAGAACGTGTCCACGCGGGAAGTGGAGGGCGTGTTGTCACTCGTGGACTTCCTGCAGGAGGTCAACGTCTATGGTGTGTCTGTACCAGGTGAGAGGGGTTACCTCGTTTTAAGCTAACAACTTTGTAGGTGGAGGGTTGTTATCCTAGTTTTACAGGTGGGGGACCTACTGGGGCATAGCCTGCAAGCAGAGGTGACCCAGACGAGTGGGTCGGCCACGGGCACTATGAGGTGGGTGAGTCAAGAATGCCCCATGTGCTTCCCAGGGTGTGAGGGCAAGGTGGGCATGGCTGCTGTGCAGCTGGCCCCTGGCCAGACCTTCGATGGGCAGAGGCTGTACCAGCACGTCCGCGCTTGGCTCCCTGGCTACGCTGCACCGCATTTTATCCGTGTCCAGGTGAGCGCAAGGGTGGTAGAAACGGGGGTGGGAGGTCTCTGTGGAGGCAGTCACAGACGGGGTTACGGTCACCGCCCCTGCAGGACGCCCTGGAGATCACAAGCACGTTCAAACTGGTGAAGTCCCGGTTGGTGCGTGAGGGCTTCAACGTGGGCGTCGTTGCTGACCCACTGTTCGTGCTGGACAACCAGGCTCAGGCCTTCCGGCCCCTGACGCCTGACACATACCGCGCTGTGTGCGAGGGAACCTGGAGACTGTGATGATCTGGCCACCCCATAGGACGCCACAGGAGCAGGGCCCAAAGCTGACCCCCCCCCCACCCCACTTGCAGCATCACCTGCACAGAGGCATCATGAATTCCAGCTTGGCCATATCCATAGCTGCCCAGGGTGGGACAACACTGGGCCAGGTAGCAGAGCAAAAATAAATTGGGATGTGGAGAGAGATGTCTGTGTGAATGAATACGCAAGCAAGGAGTGCAGGGCCTAATGCCTCCCAGGAACCTTACTTCGGGATCACCCCTCCACATCCCACCAAGAACCTTGTTAACCTCAAAAGAGTCCATTAGAATTAACGCCCACCTGTCTATGGCTTCTCATTGGCTGAGTTGTAACCATCTCCTATTGGCTGGGCTGTAACTGGGAGGTGGAAGGTGGAAGCATTCTTACTCTTGCTGGCTGGTGAAACCGATGAAACAGTATGGCGGCCGTCTTTAACCATGGGATCTGAGAATTAAATGATGGGCATGAAAGCGTCTCCGGCAGGCCTCCTGATGCCACATCAGTGAGGTGACCCGTAATTTTCACAACTTCAACTAACGTGGAGCAGTGGTCCTGTCTGGGCAAGACCGGGGCGTGGAATGAGCTGGTAGCCCCCAACCCACTGCAGGGTTTAAAAGATGAGAACACTGACCCTATATGTGGGTCTTTTGTGGACTATGATGGAGCTGGTCCCGGGCCAGTGGGCGTGGGTCTGGTCTGGAGGATGTGGGGAGAAGTGCTACGATGGGCGATCTGACAGGGCCACTGGAGTGAGGCAAGACGGGGGAGCCGGAAGTAGCTGAGGGAGGTGCACGTGCAAAGGCCCTGGGGCGTTAGCCTTGGGGTCAGATGTTGGGTACAGAGGCCGCTAGGAAATAGAGTCCGCAGTGCCTTAGGGCTGGAAGTGCCCTCTGGGGCATTGTGGGGGCTGCAGACTGGGACACGCGAGAGCCCTTCTTAGGGAACTGTGGTCCGCGCTGTGACAGGGGTTTTAAATGCCGCCTAATCTTTGTGGGAAACGTGGCCTAGGGGCAGGGGAAAAGGAGTGCTCCTCAGCTCCGAAGCCTTGGGGGAATAAATAGGCCTTGAGGTCTCCAGGAAGGAAGTGTTGCTAGGGCATCAAGCTGGTGTAGGTGGCGGCGCGCCAGCGTTGATGCCTGGAGCGTTCTAGGAGCTGTGGCGGAGGCCTCTTGGAAGTGTAATCAGCTGCGTGGAGGACCTGTGGTGGTTTCTGCAGCGTTCTGGGAGCTGTAGCAGAGGCCGCGGACGCGGAGGCCTCTGGGAAGTGTAGTCTCCGCTGCGTGGAGGTCCCGCGGCCCCGCCTGGAACTTTCTGGGAGCTGCAGTAGAGGCTGCCGTCGCAGAGGCCTCTGGGAAGTGTGGTCTGGGCCGTGTGCAGATCCCATGGTGGCGTCTGGAGCGTTTGGGCATCTGTAGCCAAGGTGGCTTGAACAGGACCAGTTGCGGTGGTCGGTGCCCAGGTCGCGTCAGTCTTGGGCGCGCCCTGGGGGCGGGAGACAGGTCCCATTGGAGTCTCGGCATTTTTAGCATGAGTCTCTATAAGGCTGGGGAGAGGAAATCCCGGGGCAAAATACCTCTAAAAACCGAAATCAGTCAAAGGGAGAAATAAAGTTTAAAATCCGTTTATTGCTCACAAACTGCAGTCCTGCGCTCTCTTTCCTGCTCAAGCAGCAGCAAAACGGGCCCTCCCCCGTCCCCTCTCGGGTACGGGCCCTCCCCCGTCCCCTCTCGGGTACTGATAAGCCCTCCGTTGCCCAGGTAATTACCCATTGATATGGAGATGAACTTCTCCACCCCTGAGGAAAGATGCAAATGCACTAAAGCCATACTTCTTTCCACCTCTGAACGCCTGTTGATATGCAGATGTACCAAAGCCAGGCGAGATATTCTGGAAATGTTAGAATATTACCCACAAGGTTCAAAGAAAGAAATGCATATGTGTCTTTATGTTGCAAATGTTTTCCTGTTAGTATTTTGCTAACCTTTTATATATATTTGTGGTAACTTTTCTCAGATTTATTAAGTTGTCAGTTGTTTCTTGAGTGATCTGTGTGCTTTTTTAAAAATCCTTTTAATTCCAGAGGTCATAACCTTTTATTTTCCTAATATTTAGTAAATCTGTAACCTAATTTGGAGTGTGTATGAGGTGAGAATCTATTTTTCTTCCATATGGGAAGCCAATTGTTGCAGTATGTGAAGTCCCCCTTGTCTTCACATGTACCAAGTTCCAAAGTGTCTATTTCTGGATTCATCTCGTTGCCCACTCCTGCACCAGTATCACAGTTTTAGTATCATGTAATTTAACAATGTTTTTGCCTGGTAAAGCAAGCCTTCCCTACTTGTCATATTTTTCCAAATTGTCATAGCAATTGTTGGACTCTTCCACATGCATTTTAGAATGATTTTGTGGGTTATACCTATGGGATTTTTTATTGGAGTTGTACTTAATTTATAGGTTAACTTGGGATGACGTATGTATAATGTTGTATCTTCTGATTCATGAACATAGTTTGTAGTTCCAGAGTCAGGCTTTTTATGTACATTCCATGTTGTGACACAGGTAGACTGTCATTAAAGGCTACTAATTATTTCATTGTACAAGAAGTACTGTAGTCACTGTAATGAAACTGCTAGCACTGAACATTCTGTTGTGTCTTTTCTCCCTCCATTACAGCCAACACCTGCAGTGTATGCAGACCTTCGCACACTTTGTCCTGGTACTTTCATGTCCTTAACAAATGAGTCACCCAGTTTATCTCTGACCTGACAATCACATATTTACATTATGTGCAGAATTTGGTTTCGCCCAAAGGGATCATAGTATAATACCTTAAGAAAACCTCTCCAGTTCATAAGATCTAGACCAACTCCTTTTAAAGCTTCGTAACATTCAAGGTACTGTCCCCCCAGTTAAACAAACATCCTTATATGGATAGGTATTCAGGGCTTTTTTCATTTTTTCAGTTCTGAGTCTTTTCTTGCTTCTAAACGAAGTTGCAGGCATCCCTGAAAACATACCTTTTGTACTGATATATTTCTATAGGCTAAAGTCCAAGAAGTGGTGTTGCTGAGTCAGAGTCCATTAATTTAAAAATGTTAATAGCTACTGCCAGCTTGCTTTCCCAAAGGTAAAGCAGTCGCTGTTAATGCCAGCAAGGGGTTTTGCCTCCGCATTATTGTTTTCTGCCACATCATCAGATAGCCACTTCAAAAAAACACTTACCTAGGCCCCAAATAACAGGGACATTAGCTATTCCTCCTTGTGACTTGTCCATTTGTGTGTTCTGCCAATTTTTCTTTGGCTGTTTGCCTAGTTCTTATCGATTCACAGAAGCTGTCTGTCTCTTCTGGATAGTGTGTGGCACACATTTGTCTCGGACTGTTCTGATCTTGTTTACCTCTGTGCTATACATGAATTAGACTTTTAGGTAGTCGCATAAGATTATGCCACCTCCATAAGATAACTGGATAGATTTCTGAATTCATTGGGCTTCTATTGTAGAAAACATTTCTATTAGATTTTTAGATGTGTTGCCATGGAGTTGTTCATGATATACATTTGTGTCTTTATATCTCTGGTGTAAATCTCTTCAGTGGGTATATTTTTTTTCACTTTTAGACATACACTTTAGCACACTCTCTTATTTCTTCCCTAGAGTTTACAGAAGGAATGCAGTCCTGCCAGCACTTAGATTTCAGTTTAGCAAGACTGTCTGACTTCTGATCTCCAGAACTGTAATTTTTTATCTAAGGCAAAAAAACAAAAATACCATGCTCCCTAAAACTCACCAGTCCTACTTTGGGAGATATACTCTAAGGAAGTAGTAACCAGAGTAACATTGGAAGTGTAACTGGATACCATGGGTGGAGAACAAGGAACTATCTGGACTTGATAGAAATGACAGTGCTGACCAGAAAATGGCATTAAAGCACATGTTGCATTTTTAATAACAGGGGAATGAGGGGTGATAGAACAACCTACAGCAGCCTCACAAAAAGCTTTATAAAGCAAACATCCCTGTGAGCGAACATCTGGAAAAAATACAGCTGTGAAGACAATGGAGTAGGGGCTATTTTCCTTACCTGTTTTCCTCTTGTATCAAAATTTTTCTAAGTGAACATAAACTACTTTTAAATATGAAAAATATTATTAAAAAACTGCCCACGAACTCTCCCTCAGTGCGGTGCTTCCCTTCATCCCTTTACCTTTCCTGTGTGCTTGGGCCCCCTCACAGCCATCCACACCCTGGCTTTCCTTTCTGGGGCCTGGGCCTGGCTTGAGTATATGGGCACTACTCCATCCTCTTCCTCCATGCCCCCAGCACAGTTATTGCCCACCAGACTACCGCTCCCAGGTCCAGCTCCAACCTGGCTCTGCTTCCCTAGGACGGAGCGCAAGTTAGCAGGTCATCCTAAGACCAGGGATGTGGAAGACACGCCTCCCCCAGGTGGAGACATCCCCTCCCAGCCTCAGCTGCAGCAATGTCGCCATCCCCAGCACAAGTGTTGCCTGCAGGTAGCCCTTCACCTCCCAAGGTGAGAGGGTCACCGCCACCTTCAAACACCCACCTGCTGCTCCTGCATGTGCCCCAGGCTGCACAGGGCTCCTTCCTTGAGTACACTTCCTGAAACCATCCCCTATAAGAATGACCCTAGTTTTCATGGTAAAGGGACAGAGAAGGGTGCTGAGTAAGTCAACCAAAGACATCCCTGTCCTGATCCTCTGAACTGTGAATATATTATGCGCAAAAGGGATTTTGCAGATGGGGTCAACTGTGCAGGTGGGGATGTGGACAAGATGTGATTAAGGATCCTGAGATAGGGAGATTATCGCAGATTACTAGGTGAGCCCTGAATCAACCCTAAGGGTCTTTACAAGGAGACAGGAGGATCAGAACCAGAGACAGCAGCATAAGAAAGACTTGACCCCTCATTGCTGGCTTTAAAGATGAGGAAAAGGGCTGCAAAACAAGGTCTGTAGTGGCTTCTAGACACTAGGAAAGGCAATAAAAAGGGATTCCCTTCCAGAGCTTGCAGGAGGAACCAGTCCTGGTTCCAAAATAACACCTTGATTTTAGCCCAGTGAGACCCATTTCAAAGTCATAAGAAAATAAATGTGTTGTTTCAAGCCACCAAGTTTGTTAAGAGCAACAGTATCAAACTAATACAGTGCACTGGCCAAAGTCCCAAATAACTGCCCAAGAATCCAGATTGGGGGTATAGCAGGCAGCTGATCCTTTGTCCTACTTTGTCACCCACTGGCCAGCTGTGTAGGCTGTGGGGATGTAGCCCTGACCTGTAGGGGCAGATGGCCTAAATGATACCTATTTGTGGCCCCCTTTCTTGGAGATCACCCTTGTCCATCCACACTTGAAAACAAAGTCCCCTTTGTGCCAAGAGCTCAAAGGACAATGAGGCTGGGGAGTGATGTGAGTGGCTAAGTAATAAGGTAGGCCAGGGGGAACATGGCTGCCCTGTGGCTCCAGCTGTTGGGCAGGAGTGGTGTTGCTCATCTCCTGATTAGCAGAAACCAGGATCCTTACGCAGAAATTTCCCCACTATAAAAGTGGAATTTGTTAAACATCGAGAACTAAGATGGAGAGCCATTTGTCCTTCTAAGGCCTGCAAACAGAAACAGGCCATGCATTCCTGGGCTTGCTGCATCTTCCATACCAAGACCTTAGGTCCATCTGCTTCAGGAAGGGTGGGCAGTTCGTAAGCATCCATCTGGGCCCACCGGGTCCCAGGGGTAGGGAGTCACTAGCATGCTCCATGTCCCAGGTGGGGAGCTGGGAGCTTGGAAGTCACTGGCCACAAGTCAGCAGTGGATTCCAATCCAGGCCTCACCCCGAAACGGCAGGGGAAGGGGAGGACACCACGTCGGGGGCAGGGGGAGCTCATTTCCTTGCACCCAGGCGACTTTTTGGGAGACTGAGTCAGGGGCGGGGACCCTCCTGGGAACTGCTGCCTCCAAGTCCGCCAGGTCAAAGCCAAGCAGCAGGGACAGGCTGGAAGCAGAGGTGAACAGACTGTCCAGGCCCGCAGGGCTCCACGGCCCCAAGGGAGACTGCCTCTCTCTGACTGTTCACGGGGCCGGCCGGTGGCTTTTCCTGTGGATGACCAGCTGGGACTTCCAGTCAAAGCTGCGGCCGCAGTCGCTGCAAAAGTGGCGCCGCTGGCCAGCGTGGCTCTTGCGATGGATGACCAGCTGCGACTTCCAGCTAAAGCTGCGGCCGCACTCCTCACATGCATAGCTCCGCGGGCCCAGGGGTGTGCGCCTGGGGTGGCGCAGGGCACAGGGCTCCCGAGGCCCCTGCACCAGTTTCTCTACACCCCCAGTGGCCCGTGCATCTGCGTGCGTCCGATGGTGGATGACAAACACCGACTTCCAGTCGAAGCTGCGGCCGCACTGCTCGCACATGTAGGGCTTCTTCCGCAGGGTGCCGGGCTCCAGGGCCACTCCTGGGCGCATCCCCACACTGGCTGGCACCGGGGGCAGTGGGGTGGCCCCAGACCGGCCCTCCCAGGTGACAAGCCCTGGGCCCCGGGGTGGCTCTTCACTCTCATCTCCTGGGGAAAGAGGTGGCCGGCCCAGGTCACCTCGTGCACATGATGCTGCACCCCCTCCAGGTGTGTGGGGGGCTCACATCACACTGAGAAGTACTCACCTGAGCAGAGGTTTCTTCCATCCTCTGGCCTCACGCTTGGCATCCCTGGCTCCGACTGGGCCCTTGTCTCCAGCTGGTGGTACGGCAATCCTGTAGGAGGTGGGACTGTCAGGTGCCAGTTCTGGCACAGGGCTGGGTGAGGGGCTCATACCGATGAGGGACAGGGTGGGTGCCCCTTGGGAAGGAGGAAGAACCAGGCAGGAACTGGGAAGTGCACATGGGGGGACTGGGGAGGTCCTCACCCAGGGAGACCACCTTGCCGTACTTCTCCAGCATTGTATCCCAGTACAGTTCCTTCTGCGATGGGTCCAGGAGTCCCCAGTCCTCCTGCAGGGACATGGCCTATCACTGTGGGCGCCTGTGTTGCATCCTTACTAATTACCTGAAGGCACAGGCTGGTTACCGAAACCTCTTATGCCTGCTGGGCTTAGGCTGAAGTTGAGATGGAGGTGAGTGTTGGGAACACAGGGCCAGGAGGGAGCTGTCCTCCTCTCACTGGGCCAATGCTGCCGGCACCCATCCCCTACAGCTGTCCCACTCCATATTCTGGCCAGAGATACTGAAGCTGAGAACCCCTGGATGGGCTTTGGGGTTAGCTAAGGCAGGGGTATGTGTGACTGGCCCCATCCCCTGCCTTGAACAGCATGTGCTAACCAACAGCAAAAAGCCAGAGGACCGAGGAGACGCCAGCCCTCTCGCCCAGACTCTTGTTACAAGAGTGAGAGACTCTCCTCATGGGCGCTGTTGAGGGACATCAGCATCGCTGGGCATGGGGACTGGCGGTAGGGAGGTAGAGGGCAGGAGGACTCCAGCTGGGAGGTGTAACCGTGCACCTCATGGCACAGATGACCTCCGCGGGCAGGGTGGTGGGCTGGCTCCCGTGTTTGCCAGAGGGTGAGCTCAGCCCCCAGTTTTGTTGTGTCAGCAAGACCCTTGTGGCCTTACCAGGGCCTGCTGCTGGGATTTGCCTTCCTTGCTTCCCAGCATCCTATCAACTGGGGCTTTGCTGGGTTGGAAAAAGTAATCTTGACAGTCAAGCCTCAGCAGGGCCAGAGGCCAGGTGGCAGCAGTCACACTGGGCCACAGCCAAGATGCTTGTTGGTGGTGAGGAAGCCTTGGGAGGTGTGGGCTTCCCACTTGCCCACTTCCAACTGTGCCTTCAGGCTGTGGAGAGAGTCTGGGGGTCCCTGCAGCTGCCAACCACATCTCAGCAGCTCTTCTGCTGGGGATGCTCCTGAGTGGAATGGCTCAGGAACAAAGTTGCTGGGAGAGGACATGACCCTGTTACCCACACTCCAGAACCAAGCACTCCAAGTAGCAGAAGTCTCAGCTGAGCTTCCATGCCCAGTGGCCACTAAGGGCTTGTTGACCTTTGAGGAAAGCCCCAGGATAGACGGGGCTGTGGGCATTTCCCAGGAAGAGCTTCTTTATTCTGACTTCAGGTGTGCTGGGGAGGCCAGACTGCTGTGGTGGCACTCAGGCTTTCCTGCCAAGGGTTGGTCATCTTGTCCCTTCCCCACTGAACAAAGGATTCAGATCCCCAGGTACCAGCTCATGGCTGGTGGGAACTGCAACACCCCTACCTTCTCTGTAAGTGAGGAAACCAACCCCCACCAGTTCCCCTCACTCTAAATCTGATTCCATGGTCTGAGGCCAAAATCCTTCTCAACTGTAACTCCCCCAGGACCTGCAGGGGGCACCCTGATACCAACTCCACTTCCGGGCAGCAAAGCTCACAAGAGTCACTGGCCTAGAAGCTGGAGAACTGGCAGGGCAGACAGTAGCTACAAGTGACACACCTCTCACAAGGGACCTCACGTCCCCCCTGGCACTGCTCACCTGAATCCGGGGTGGCTGGAACGACACAGAGACTCGTTCCTGGTATCTGGGGTTCCCTTCATGGCACTGGGCTGGAGTTGGGGGGCTGGAGGGTGCTAGGAAGTGAGGCAGAGAGGATAAGGGCTACTCGTGTGATCAGAGCAGGTGAGCTGCTGTTGGTGGTTTGGCCCTGGCCCTCCTCTGCCAGCAGGCAGGAGGCCACTGTGTGTGCCAGTCACAAGCAGGCAGCCAGCCCCCTCTCCTCCTGCCTCCCACCTCTGTGGTCTGCAGTCCCTCCTCGGCCCCTACCCTCAGCAGGGCATGTCCACACTCCCCCCAGGGGCTCCCCAGCTCAAGCATCGCCCCCGCTCTCACCCATCTGCTTATCCGCATCAGGATCCTCCTTTACACTGCAGCTGATCTGGGCAGACCCCTCCATCTGGGATTCCTGGGGCTTCTCCCCAGCGGCTTCCCTGAGGGGCTCCACTGTTCCTACAGAGTGGGGGCTCCCCAAGGACTCGTCCATCTTCTGAGCTGCCGGGAGCACCATTCGCTTCAGAACGTGGGCTGTAATCTGAGGGGAAGAGGCAAGCTATGAAAATTCTAGTCTCACTCTGTCCCTTCAAGCGGCCCATTTCAGTCACACTCACCCAGCCCAGCAGCTGCCCAGGGTCCTGCTGCAGGTCCTCAACCAGGGCTGCTGCCTCCTCAGGGCTGCCTGGCCTCTGCTCCCGCACCCAGGCCTGGATCTCAGGGGGCAGCGCGCCCAGGAACTGCTCCAGCACCAGCAGCTCCAGCATCTGCTCCTTGGAGCGCACCTCGGGCCGTAGCCAGCCTCGGCACAGCTCTTGAAGCTGGGCTAGGGCCTCACGGGGACCTGCCACCTCCTGATAGCAGAACCCCCGGAAGCGCAGGCGAGCTGCCTCGGGCTCCTCCAGGGTGGCCGTGGAGACCATGGAGGGCAGACGTGGGGGACCCAGTGGGGATGGCATTGTGCTGGCAGTCTTCCTGGAATCACCAAGAGGGTCCTGCAGAAAAGAAGGAGTTATGGTGCTGGACAAGAGATTAGGGCTAGAGGATGACAGACATATGCAGACAGGCTGAGCCCTGGCCAGAGAGGTCCCTGGCATAGGGATGCATGAGGCTGGGAAAGCTTCATGGAGGGAGGGGTCACAGGAGCTGGATGCTCGTGGGAACTGAGAGCAAAAAAAAAGCCCTGCGAGAAATGCTTGGAGGCAGTTTGTCCAAAGGAGCTTCCAGAAAACTGCACATACTTGGGTACAATGGGATTGTTGGAAGATGATGGAGAGATAGGCAACGGGAGTCATAAGCTTCTAGGGTTAGGCTGAGGAGCCACCCAAGTGCCCAGCAGAGGAAGGAGCTGAGGAGTCTGGCAGGAGGCAGAGGGACAGGCAGCCAGGAAAGCGGTGGGCTAATCCAGATGAGCGGTAGCCATGAGGGTGGGAAGGAGCAGCAATAGGATGTGGGGCCAGGCTGGGCTATGGCAGGGCACGTCTGTTCCCAAAGTATCAGACATGTTGCCAGAAGTGGGTCACTCTGAGGGGCTAGCTACAGCGACAGGGCACGCCTGCGTCTCGGGTCGAGGCAGGGGCTGATGAGGACTTCGAGACGTCGCATTCACTGACCACAGCGAATCGTGGATGACACACCATCTGGACCGTGCGTGAGAAAAGCAAAAGCCAAGCAAAACAGAACCACGAGTTGTGTGGAGTGTTGGGCGTCAACTGGGTCCCTGCCCTAAAAGAGAGTCTAGAGTGCAATACGCACACCCAGGGGCCTGCCAGACCCGCTAGACAGGTCTGACCCCCGGAGTCCTCCCAAAAAGAGAAGGGAGGGACAGCAGGGGAACCACGGTCGGGGTAGGAGAAAGCCCGGGCAAAGGCTCGGAGGCGGGGCGCGCAGGGCAGGACGGGAGGTAGGCGGGGACTCCGCAGCGCCGGGAGCCCTGGCCGGCCGCTCCCACCGCAGCCAGGTCCGCGTTCACCCCAACAAGCAGCGACGCCGCTGCCAGAAGGCCACTTCCGGTCAACGGCACGGCGCCTTCCCGCCAGTCTCTCGCAGGACGCATCGATCCGTCCCTCTAGACCATGCTCGCAGACACCGCTCTAGCCAATCACGCGCCTGCTCCGAAGGCACCGCCTCCCCCTCCCTTTGGACTACGTTTCCCACGAGCCTCAGCAAGCAAGACCAGGCGCGGCCTCTGCCAGCGGACGCTCACTTTCAGAAGCTTCTTACGACTGAGAGGCACTCCGTTCCTCCTAGAGGAAGCTGAAGTAATCGCAGAGTTTGGGGGTTCTCCCTCCCTCAACGGCGGCCGCTCCTTTGCCTCCGAGCCTTAGGAGTTGCCAACTGCGGAGATGGACGGTACATTACAATGTCGCGCACGCGCACAACGGAAGCGGGTTCCTATTGGCAAACTGGGCGAGGGGCGGAGAGAAGCGTGGCCTCGTAACCAATCACAGCTGATACTCCACCTAGGTCCCTCCCCTATCGCTATTGAGGCTTCTTTATGGTCGTGCAGCGGTCTCTTTGGGAACCACTGTAAGCACCTACGCCCACCTCGGGCTGCTTTCGAGGCCATGGCCGGAGCGCCGCCTTGCCTTCCCGGGAGGCCGGAAGTGGCGGCCTGGTTAGTTCTGCGGAGATTCACCTCCAGGTGGTCCCCGGAGGAAGCGGGGTCACCAGGTGGTCCGCGGCCTTTCTCCGACATACCGGCGAGCATCTCCAGGGAGGAGGGTGCTGCGGTTCTTCACGAGCTCCTTACAGACATAAGGGGACACGAAGACAATGGGGGAGCCGGAAGGGCACCCTCTTACTGATGAGGAAACTGTCCCGTGATTTACACCCAGTTTCAGATGTATATTCAGAAATCACTTCTGCAAAGTGAGGGATGAAGGTTTTTGTCCATTCTTATGGGACGTGCTTAACCTTTATTTGGGGGACATAATTAGTAAGAGGGTGATATTTCATTTATCTCAAGAGGCAATGTACCTGTTTTTAAAATCTGTGAGATGAGGTCTGTTTTGCTTCCACACCTCAAGCAGCCAAACCATGACTTATTTCAATCCTGAATTGCATCTGCCTTTTTTTTTTTCTCCCATGTCTAGGAATCCCTGGCTGCCAGCTCTCTATAAAGGGTAGTGGTCTTAAACTGATTGGAAGCTGTAAGCTTCATCATAAACGACTCATTCACCGTGTGCAGAAAGAGCTGGTGCTCTGATAGCTTCTCCAGTAGCTAGCTCTCCCCTAGCAGTCTTTGTTTTAGGTCTCCCCTCTCAGGGGGCTGCTGGTTTTCAAGCTTTCTGGAGGTCTGCAGCATAAACCTGGTGGGACCTCCCACCACTTCCCGTGTTGCCAACTCAGTACTTGGCTGAGTGACTGCTCCTCCATCTCCATCTGCTTCTAGCTACATGATGCTATTGCTATCGGCCCCTTTTACCACCTACCTGTGGGCTTGTTTTAAACACTTCTCTGTGGTTCAGTGGATTTCTGAACCAAGTGAGATGCATATATTCAGTCCTCCATCTTGACTCAGAAAGCCCAAGGACGCTTTTACAGGCACCACCTACTCAGGGTTATTAGCAGAGGCCAGCCTGACACGACAGGGTCCAACATGACGAAGAGATTCGAGGGGAGGACAACTTAGGGGCCAAAACAAGGGCAAGAAGGGTACTTATGGTTGTTCCTGTAAGAGAGCAGAGGGACTGAGGGATAGCAGGGGCTAAGCCCACAGGTGTGAAGGAGCTCAACGAAGTGGGGATGAGGCTGATGAAGAGACAGAACAGGGCATCAGGCCCACCTTGAGGGGCCAGGAGGGATTAGGGTGAAACTGCTCCAGGAGCTTTTGTCCAAGGTGCAGACATTGCATGTGACTCTTGGGGTATCTACTTGCTATTCAACCGATGCCTTTGCTACTGAATCCCACCGGTTCCCCAGAAGAGCCTTCTGTCAGTCAGAGAAGGGATGTGACTGTTTCACAGCTATGCGGACTGAGATTGGCGTGACCTGCTCAAGCCTCTCTCATGGAGGTCAATTTGGGTTAGATGGGGGCAATGCCAAATAGACCAGAGCATGAGAAAGGATGAGTCCATGAGGGGCAGACAATAGCTCAGGGGTCCACAAGGTTATCAGGAGGCCTGGCTTAGAGTACCTACCCTTGAAAGGTCATGGGGAGCCAAGTCCTGCAAGACTCCACTCCCCACCCCAGTGTCTCTCCTTTGCAGAACTTGTGGGGTCCCAGGGGCAGAAGATAGGTCTGGCACTGCTGGCAAGTCAAGAATGGAGGACATCATGTCTGTGCTGTGTATGGCAGTTGCCTATGAGGTCTTGATGATGGGATTGGGGCACCCACTAGGGTCAATCTTTTGGGCCAGAACTTGTGGCCCCTAACTCAAGACTCCCTTCCTGGGGTCCATAAAAAATTAATCTCCTAGTAGAGCTGCTGCTTGGGGCAGCCTACCCTGCCCAGTTCTCCTGGCTTCCCCCCAACCCACTTCTGGCTGTTGAGACACAGGTGTCCCAGGCCCTCCATAGGCCACAGACAGGCTTCGTCTCTTCCCTGTGGCCTCTCAAAGGTACTTCAGGGTTGCAGCCAAATCCCCACAGCTTTGTGATGACAGCATACCCTGATGCCATGTGCTAGGGTGAAATGGGAATCATGCTGTTACTTTTCACGTTTTTAAAGTCATCTTTATCATGGACCTTCCCTGGACTCTGTTGTTAAAACCTTTTTAACCATGACCTGGAAGCTGGTAGGGGAGGTGAAGACAGTGGGATGCAAGAATTTACAATATACATCCATTCAAATTTGTAACTTTCGCTCTTTTTCTTCTACCTAGTAAAAAGACCAGTAATTTCCCTGGGGGTGAGGCCTGAGGTTGTTATGTGTCTTGGTTAGCTGAGGGCCACAGGAAGCAAACTGGGCCCCCACCCCACCAGTCTGCCAAGGTGTTCCCACCATGTAGGCTATCATGGTGTGGGGGCTGGGGGCGCATATCGCAGCAGGGCACCACACACAGCCTTAGGTAACAGCAAGTGCTCCTTCCAATCGAAGCATCATATACTCAAATTATACTATGCTGTACACAACTCACATGGCGTCTCGCCGCTGTGGATGCGCTGGTGCTGCGTCAGGTGTGAGGTCTGGCTGAAGGCCTTGCCCTACTGCGGGCATTCATACGGCCGCTCCCCAGTGTGGGTGCGCAGGTGCTTGAGGAGGTCGGAGCTCTTGATGAACACTTTGCTGCACGTCCTGCATTCGAAAGGTTTCTTCCCCGGGAGGAGGCCAGGGCCCACATGGAGGGCTTCGCCCAGCTCGTCCCAGGTCGGGGACTCCTGGCCAGCGGGCAGTCTCTGAGGCTCGTGCTAAGCCTCAGCCTTTCCTCGTGGGCACATGGCCAAGGAACCCAGCAAAAACAAACAGCCCCATCTTATCTCTTCTGAAACTGTTACTAAGGTCACCTCATCAGGGCAGTGGGGATATAAAGGATCCTGGCAATGCTTTGGTGGCAATAGGACAAGGCCAAGGTTGAGGCCTGGATGAGAACACGAACAAGTGAGTACAGCTGGAGAGCCACCATTCTTGAGCCTTGTCTCCCTGCAAGAATCTCCACCCCCCTCATCCACCTCCACTGGCTTTACCATGTGCAGGAAGCCAGACCATGCCTGGCTGGCCCTCAGATAGAGCTGCAGATAGAGCATGGGCGTGGAGTGGTGAGCTGTCTGGATGCTGGGCCAGTGGCCTGGGCTTAAATTATACTTATGCTGTACACAACTCACACCCCCTCTCTGTGCCTCAGTTTCCTCATCACAAAAGTAGGGATACCAGCCCACAGCAGCCACCTTATAGTGCTGTTAGGAGGAAATTTGTGGTTCTCTGAACAGGGGCCTGCAGTTGGCATGTTAGCCATTATCAATGCCCTGCCTGTCAGAGTAGAGCAAATACTCTACGTAGACCCAATCTTTTTCCTTCTTTTTCTTGATTTTCCTATAGGAGGAAACTGAGGCTCAGTGCCCAGTCACTTGCCCTACACCATCCATTGACCTTACATGACCACCTTTCCACTGGGCCTGCTCTGAGGAAGGCCCCGTAACCCGAGCCCTGGGGGAACTATCCTGAGTATCACCACAGCCAGTTTCTGAGTGGACATAACAGGTTCTCTGGACCACCTCCACCCTATACCACACTCTGAATCCTCACCTTAGCCCCCACGAGTCACAATACACCTGATGTGGCACTAGTTGACTTTCAGGTCTCCATCCCACCAAAGTTCCACCTTTTAGGTTTGGCCCCACACCCAGTATTTTGGCTGCTTGCCCTGCGAGGAATAAGCTGTGTCTAAAATAGCATAGCTTGTCTCCATGTGCATGGGAACTGCTATAAACATACTAGGATACTATGCAGTGGCCATTTGCAGAGGAGACGTGATGTTCAGCCTTGGGAGGGATTCAGGATAGGCAAGAAAGGGCGGGGCTGTGACCTTACACCTTGGATGCTTTGGGAACTTCTGCTGGCCCTGAGGCAGGGGTGGGGCCGGTCTCCCTCCCCAGTGCAACCTCTGACGATGCCCCCGAAGGAGGCCTAGCTCGGGGCCGCCGCACGGGCCTCTCACCGGTGTGGATCCTCTGGTGGTGGAAGAGGGCGGGGCGCTCACGGAAGCCCCGGCCGCACTGCGTGCACACAAACGGTTTCTCGCCCGTGTGGATGCGGAGTTGTTCCTGTAAGAGAGCAGAGGGACTGAGGGATAGCAGGGGCTAAGCCCACAGGTGTGAAGGAGCTCAAAGAAGTGGGGATGAGGCTGATGAAGAGACAGAACAGGGCATCAGGCCCACCTTGAGGGGCCAGGAGGGATTAGGGTGAAACTGCTCCAGGAGCTTTTGTCCAAGGTGCAGACATTGCATGTGACTCTTGGGGTATCTACTTGCTATTCAACCGATGCCTTTGCTACTGAATCCCACCGGTTCCCCAGAAGAGCCTTCTGTCAGTCAGAGAAGGGATGTGACTGTTTCACAGCTATGCGGACTGAGATTGGCGTGACCTGCTCAAGCCTCTCTCATGGAGGTCAATTTGGGTTAGATGGGGGCAATGCCAAATAGACCAGAGCATGAGAAAGGATGAGTCCATGAGGGGCAGACAATAGCTCAGGGGTCCACAAGGTTATCAGGAGGCCTGGCTTAGAGTACCTACCCTTGAAAGGGCATGGGGAGCCAAGTCCTGCAAGACTCCACTCCCCACCCCAGTGTCTCTCCTTTGCAGAACTTGTGGGGTCCCAGGGGCAGAAGATAGGTCTGGCACTGCTGGCAAGTCAAGAATGGAGGACATCATGTCTGTGCTGTGTATGGCAGTTGCCTATGAGGTCTTGATGATGGGATTGGGGCACCCACTAGGGTCAATCTTTTGGGTCAGAACTTGTGGCCCCTAACTCAAGACTCCCTTCCTGGGGTCCATAAAAAATTAATCTCCTAGTAGAGCTGCTGCTTGGGGCAGCCTACCCTGCCCAGTTCTCCTGGCTTCCCCCCAACCCACTTCTGGCTGTTGAGACACAGGTGTCCCAGGCCCTCCATAGGCCACAGACAGGCTTCGTCTCTTCCCTGTGGCCTCTCAAAGGTACTTCAGGGTTGCAGCCAAATCCCCACAGCTTTGTGATGACAGCATACCCTGATGCCATGTGCTAGGGTGAAATGGGAATCATGCTGTTACTTTTCACGTTTTTAAAGTCATCTTTATCATGGACCTTCCCTGGACTCTGTTGTTAAAACCTTTTTAACCATGACCTGGAAGCTGGTAGGGGAGGTGAAGACAGTGGGATGCAAGAATTTACAATATACATCCATTCAAATTTGTAACTTTCGCTCTTTTTCTTCTACCTAGTAAAAACACCAGTAATTTCCCTGGGGGTGAGGCCTGAGGTTGTTATGTGTCTTGGTTAGCTGAGGGCCACAGGAAGCAAACTGGGCCCCCACCCCACCAGTCTGCCAAGGTGTTCCCACCATGTAGGCTATCATGGTGTGGGGGCTGGGGGCGCATATCGCAGCAGG